ATCCAGTCGTCTAGTTGAAACCGCTACCAGAGAAGTCAGCGACCGAAGGAGAAGCATGCAGTTTTCTCTTGTGCCCGCCCTACCCCTCGGGTTTTGAAATCGCTTCCTTCTCAAGACTAAGGATGCTAGCTCTGAAAAAAGGGGAGAGCTAATCGCTTGACGTGAAAATTTGCTCTTTCAGGGTTGGGATGCAAATATGTTCACTATAGTGGACCTTAAATCCAACAGGGCCATTTCCTATGTTAGCACTCTGGGATCTAAGTAAGTGACATGTGATATTTTATACAGTTTGCAATAGGATTTTTGGAAGTTACGTGAACTGTAGTTGACATGGCCGCAATCAGTCAGGGCGGTGTTAAAAGGAGTGGAGACAGCCCCCTCTAGCTTCCTTCTCTACCAATGGTGATCGGGTGATCGATTTGGGAAGAAAACACCTGCAGTGAAAAAGTTACGGAAGGGTCACTAGACACCGCACGACTTACTGCGACGGTATAAGTGTACAATCAACTAAAGAGTAAGCTTTTTTGATTCAGGTTCGGATCGGGAATGAACACAGAGGGACAGTATCTGAACGACATGAGCCAATACGATACGTCTAATTCTCTGAGCGGCTTATTTCCTGCTGTGGCCAAAGGCAAAACGAAGGTTGTTTGTTTACCCAGGAAACTAAAACAAAAGAAGTCAAAGGAATTGGCAGGACGAGTTCAGCAGGAAAAATATGATGTATAAAGAGAAAAGCGAAAGTAACCGACGTCGGTAACATACCCGCTCCTCTTTGGGCTATTTTTTCTCGTGGTACACCCGATAAATGAAGGTTGGGGAGAATTAGCTGGCTGCGTACCGAACAGGGTACAGTAGTCGTTGTGCGAAACCCATGGTGAGGGTCGTTGTTGGCCGTTGGGGGGGGGGGTCGCAAACCCAGGGTCGGTAACACCAAACTTCACAAAGTGTCATTGCTAATTTGATGGAGCGGATGGAAAACTGCAGAGGACCCGATGTGTGGAAGACTACAAAATACTTATGTAATTAATTAGCAATATCAACAATCAAAATGATTTCGTAAGTACGTAGATGACTAAATAATACATCTCAAACAGATTCGTGCGTTGTCCTTTCCAAACCCTAAACAAACATCTGCTTGCATGGACAAAAGCACCTGAAATCAGAATTTACACCTTTCCACCACCTCTGCGTAGAAGCGTAATGCACGGCGCACACTCGGACCAAATCGATCGATGGTAACCAAATTATGCTTTGACTGACTTCAACGGGAGTATGTGTTGTAAAGGTATATTAGTTCGCGAATGAGTAGCTTCACAACGGCTCAGAAGGAAGGAGTCGAGCTTTTGAGTGACTCAAAATCTCGCCCATCAAAAGCTATCTAAAATATCTCCTAGATTGGGAAGTTCTCAGAGGAACTGTAGCGCTTCTTGGAATTAATCCATCAAAAACCCATCTGAAATATTTTGCAAACAGCGCAAGATTCAGGTTACTAAGAAAACGCAACAGTAGAGACATCATTCTGACATGTTGCCTTTCATTTCTCAAAAGCCCTACACCCAAAGCAGCTATCACCCGCGGAAGAAGCCCCGCGATTTGAGATTTTTAATGTTTCAGATAAAATTCGCCTATGCTGCAGTAGGTGGCAGTT